ATTAAGGTTCGTGAATCGATTCGTGAGTTTGTAAATGCTTGAACAAATTTAATTCTATGTTGAAATTTGAAAATGTTATTGTTACCATTATCTATTAGCTCAAGAGTCGAGAGTTCTCAACTTGAGTCGTGATGTAGCTCATTTTTAACTGTTCGTGAACTTATGGATCCGCTCGATATTTTTTTTGGCAAATTACAGCCACCCCTGAAGTATGACTAAATTATGAAAACCCCCTTTTGTTTGGATAATTACAGTCACCACCCACTTGAATATTTTTACATAAAATTTATATAATTCGGTTATTTACCGAAACAAATCGTATATTCAGTTCGGTAAACAATATGAAGTGTTGGCGTACCAAAATTTCGGTTCGGTTTTACTGATTTAACATCCCTATATATATTTACCTCATAAGGGGTGGGGTATTTTCATAATTGAAGGGTGGTTATAATTACCCAAACATGAGGGGGGTTTTGTAATTTGACCATACCTCAGTGGGTGGTTGTAATTTGCCATTTTTTGTGTGGTAAATTAGTATCATAACTATAAAAATACATAATTTAAAAAAAAATCTGTTCATTTTTATATTTTATATTTTATTTTTTAGTATAAATTAAAAATAAAAATTTAAGGATGGAAAAGAACAAGTTAGGAAAATGATTTTCCTTTGTTGAAAATGAAGGGGTGTTTTGGTAATATTTACACAGAAGGGTAAATAATTTACTATTTAGGGTTTAAAAAGTGTAGAAATTACACCGTGATCCCTTTCCCCCCAACCAAGCCTGTGTGACTGTGTGTGAGGTCTGAGGTTTTATCTTTAAACCTCAAAATCAAAACCCCCCATTTTTCTCTTCTCTCTCTTCCCATACAACACGACAACAACAATTTTCTAGAGAGAGAAAACCATATATACATATATATGTATGTCTGAATGGCCCTTCTTGTAAAGCCAAATAGCTCCGTCAAACGAATGGCGTCTCGTTTTTTCATTTACTCGTCTTCTTCCGTACACTCTTTCCACACTCATACCCAATGTAATCCAACTCCCTCCTCTCCATTATCTCTCGCGCGGCCCTCCTTCATACTTCTTAGTTGCAGGTGAATTTTTTTTAATTTTTTTTTTCTGTTCCCCATGTTGTGTATTCTGGTTTGGGGGTGTGTTTACTTCATTCTGCTTTCGTTTTTATTGGGTTTGTATTGGGAAATTGTTTGGGATGGATGAATTGTATTTAGACATGAGTCTACTCTATTTTCTTATTAATGCAATTGATTTGTTTTTATGGATTTGTGCAAGTGTAAGACTCATGCATGAGTTCAGGGTTTAGGGGGAGCAATTTGATTGGTGGGCTTCTGTTAGGATTTGGTGAAAGTTGGGATGAGGGTTTTAATTTTGTTTGCTTAGTGGCACAGAATGTATGTTTGGCAAAAGATAAAGTTAGAAATCCTCGTTTTCATTTTATCGTTTGATCGGTTTGACTGTATGCAAATTGTATAGTTCGGAAAGTATAGGAGGTGGGCTCCCGTATTGTTACTTCTTTTCTTCACTTGTTTAGTTATTAATATGTAATTTCTTTTTATGTGCCAAAGATGGCGGTTTCTTATAATCATACGAGTATTGTTACATTTATGTAACTTTGTTATACGTTCATATTGGTCGTGCTAGCTACTTTGATACTCGTATTATATGCCGCATTTTCAGTAGTTTAACAAGGGATAGTAGTGTTCTGTTTGCTTGATATCGGTTTCTGTTTTGGTCTCAATAAACAAGAGTCGGGCACTGTATTTTAACTTAGTTTTAACAAACGTGGGTTACTTTTTAATTTTTTTGTGTTGGACAAACGTTCAGCTATTTTCACGTTTTTATTACTGGTTGGTCCGTGTTGGTGCTACAAGGCAAAATTTACACTGGGGAAAATGTTTTCTTTCTTCCTTGGTTTTGGTAAAGATTTGCTTACGTTCGTCTTTGTTTCAGAGCGAGTGATAGGTTGAAAAAGGTCTCGAGCAAGCATGTACCATGGAATGCTGTTGTTCCCAGAGCATTTATGTCCTCAAGCATCAGCACAGAGGCTGTTCGTGAAAACAAAGTCTCGAAAGAATATGGGTCGGAGCAGATTCAGGTGAAATGTTTACCTGCCTTAAGGAACATCTAATAAATCTCAATTTTCTTACATCCTAGTAATGGTTTAAAATCCCATCTTTTAGGTATTAGAAGGGTTAGATCCTGTAAGGAAACGGCCCGGCATGTACATTGGAAGCACTGGGTCCCGTGGTCTGCATCATTTGGTAAGTTCTATCTCTTTTCATTATGCTTTATTTGGCCTTTTTTGTAACTGAGAGAACTTAATCATCTGTTGATTTGCTTCTTTTTAAGGTTTATGAAATCTTGGATAACGCCATTGACGAGGCACAAGCTGGTTTTGCTTCAAAAATTGATGTCATTCTACTCGAAGATAATTCAGTGTGCATCACCGATAATGGTCGTGGGGTACGTGTTCTCCCTCACAACTTTATTATACGAATTAGTGAGAAAATGGCTTAGTTTCCACTTTCCGACAAATTAACTAATCTTATTAGAAAATCCTTGTGTGAGCACATAATCAGCAATATCTTGTAAAGATTGAAGTACTCGTTTGATATGCCACTGAAGCTGTTGATCTTCACTTATTCGGTCATTCCTCATTTTGAAATATCACTGGCATTATATTTGACTGATCCCTCGATCACTTAGCTATAGTACACGCACTTGATTTAAATGGGCCGTTGTCATTTCTGTAACATCTTTTTCGATATCTTTCCTTTTGAGCAATTGAGTTTTGCAGAATGATCATTGCTTTTTCTGAGTGGTTTCATAATTACGTAAAATGTCGTCCATTGGGATACCATCTTTGAGAAATATTTTAGTTTATATTTATAGTGCTCTGTTTGCAGTTACTTATTAGAAATTTCTTTCTGCTTATTACAGATCCCAACCGACATGCATCCGGCAACGAAAAAGTCTGCATTGGAGACTGTCTTAACGGTACTTCCTCAATTTCATAGTATCAATTATGAATTGTGTAGTGTATTTCTCAAGTTTTAACTATTGACCCTTTACAGAAGTTAAGGCTGATGTTTGCAAAGACCATGTGAAACATAGGAATAGTAATTTAGACAGAGAAGGATCGAATTACATTTACTTTTTGCCTGTTAGAGTAATTATGTCATACTCAAGACAATGTCTTTGATTTCACACCTGAAAATATTTAAGAACGTAGTCATTGGATAGTCCTTTTCTTATAAATCTAGAGTTTGATGTTCGTAATAGTAAGCTAGAATACCTGGTAGCAGCCTTTCCCCCCTATTACTTGACGAGTTGATTTTCATCGCCTGACTTAAAACTTTTTCTTTCGTTGACGAAAAAATGAACTCCGACTTGGAAATGTTTGTAGCATTCCGTATTTCTCTTGGATTGACTAAATTTGATGTATTGGAAAAATAATATTTGTTATGTTAGATTATGGAATTGTCCCTCTAAGCTGAAGATTGGAGATAATTTATTCTCAAAAGCGTGTCATTGCAGGTTTTGCATGCAGGTGGCAAGTTCGGCGGTTCAAGTAGTGGTTACACTGTATCAGGTGGACTGCATGGTGTCGGTTTATCAGTCGTCAATGCACTTTCAGAGGTGCCACTTCTTGTTCATTACATCGCTTAACTCTTCATTCTCTTTTCTATTCATTCAGTCTAATGTAAGAACATGGTTGTGCTTTCCCACTTGGATCCTCTATATTAATAAAATTCAATAAATTTCAAGATTTAAACATACTGTCATGCGTAAGTTCGGCACGGAAACAACATTATTTTATGAAACTCTCCTAATTTTTTCATTATTGTCCATTATTATAGTCTCTCGAAGTTACAGTGTGGCGAAACGGAAAGGAGTATAAGCAGAAATATTCCCGTGGGAAGCCTGTGACAAAATTAGTCTCTCGTGAGCTTCGAGCTGATTTGAAGGACTACCAAGGGACTCGCATACATTTTTGGCCAGACACAGAAGGTCAATTTTTTTTTTTTCGTAAATTTCCCTTTGTCGTGTTGAAATTTTTTTGATTAATTCTGTGAATCCATTGAATGGGGATCCTCGCAAGATCTGTGTTTGACTATCATTTTTCTTTGTTCAGTATTTACATCAGAAATTGAGTTCGACTACAATACGATATCCGGAAGAATCAGGGAGCTTGCTTTTCTCAATGCTGAGGTAGATCATTAGCTTTTGTTTGTCATGATTCTGGATTTTTGTGGACATCTGTTAATTAGGTGTTACAATTTATTTTATCTTCAGGTTACAATTACGCTCGAGAAGGAGAACACAGACCCGGAGAAGAGACTTTATACCGAGTACAATTATGCTGGTGGATTAACTGAATACGTGAAGTGGCTTAATGCCGATAAGGTGTGCTCGTAGTTTCGTAGCTGATTAATGCCACCGATAAACCAAGTTCACTAGAGTTTCTCATCATTGTTGTTTCTTTTGTCTGAAAATCATAAAGCTGTTAATTTACTGTTGCAATGTGTTCTTTTCTGTTCCAGAATTCTCTTCACGATGTTGTGGGATTTAAAAAAGAAGCAGATGGAGTCTCGATTGACTTGGCACTTCAATGGTAAGTGATTTAGATTTTCTATTTTCTTTCTCTTGTTCCTTTCGGTTTCTTTTCGTCAGATGTAAAGATGTTCTGCAACTCATATGACAGTATTATGGCTATAACATAAACGGTAAGTGATTTGAACATCGTACACACTTGACTGACATGAACGGATCTAAGTGGGATTTCGCGTCAGATGTGATTTTGAGGTCTAAAAATTAAAAAAAGAAATGGTATACTTCCGATTGCAAATTCCAAATTGGATAGAAATAGTTTCGATTTCAAAGTGCAGAAATTGCTATAGTTTGGTTCTTCACAAAAACAGTATAATGCGAAAAAATGTATGTGTTACCTTTGGCTTTCTAAAAGAGAGAGTTAACTTTTTTGGAAATAAAGAGAGAGTTAATTCAGCTTAATCGATCTTTCTGCAGGTGTTCAGATTCATATTCAGATACATTATTGGGTTACGCAAACAGCATTAGGACAGTTGATGGTGGCACGCACATTGATGGTGTGAAAGCCTCGTTAACAAGAACTCTAAACAGCCTAGCGAAGAAGTCTAAAGTTATTAAGGTATCCTGTATCGGAACTCGATCTTCTCTTCTAACTTTTTTCTGTCAATCAATCAATTATCTTTTCTCTAAACAGTTGTTTCCGATTTAACAGGAGAAGGATATTAGTTTAAGTGGCGAGCATGTAAGAGAGGGACTCACTTGTGTAATCTCCGTCAAAGTTCCAAACCCGGAATTTGAAGGACAAACAAAGGTATATACCCTTACGATACTGATTTCTGTACTCAAGTTGAAAGAAAAAAAATTTGTCGACGTAATATTTTGTCTTTGACTTTGAAAGACGAGATTGGGGAACCCAGAAGTACGGAAGGTTGTTGATCAAACGATTCAAGAATATCTTACCGAGTATCTGGAATTGCACCCAGATGTTCTTGATTCAATTCTTTCAAAATCTCTCAATGCCCTCAAGGTATATTCTGATTCTCTAAATATTTTCAATTTCGTTTGTCTGTTTTAGGAAATGCTTCATATAATTCCCACATGCTTCGTTTTTTTGTTTTTACTTAGGCTGCTTTAGCCGCAAAGAGGGCACGGGAATTGGTGAGACAAAAGAGTGTATTGAGATCTTCAGCCCTTCCTGGAAAGCTTGCTGATTGTTCAGCTACTAATCCTGAAGTAGCTGGTATGATATATACACACGTGTGTATATATATATATATATATATATATATATATATATATTAATTTTTTTTCTTATAAACTACACAAGAAATCTTGATGAATCAGAATGCAGAATAAAACTATATTTACATTTTAAAATACTTATCTCACTTATCATTTAACACCCAAAAGTGCATTAGTATTATTACAGTCAGCAAACGGGGGTAGAGTCCTTACATATATCCTCGGTTCAGATTCAAGATTATTTTTTCCAGTCATTCATATCTACATTGTTCTATTCTTTTATATAGACATTTATAGTTACGAGTGTCGTTTATTTTCCAAATTATTTCAGAGATATTCATAGTCGAGGGAGATTCGGCTGGTGGGAGTGCTAAGCAAGGTCGTGATCGGCGGTTTCAGGTGATAATTTAGGTAACATTGCGTGTATTATTTTTTTATATCCACCTATTTTGTTAATGGGTAAAGATATCGAACATTGATATCATGCAGGCTGTGCTTCCTTTAAGGGGTAAAATTTTGAACATTGAGAGAAGGGATGAAGCTGCTATGTATAAAAACGAAGAGATTCAAAATCTTATTCTCGGTTTGGGACTCGGAGTGAAGGTGTTGATCTTTCAAATAATTATTTTTTAATTATTTTATTTTTTAATTTTATTTATTGAATTTTTAATTATTTTTTATTTTCAGGGTGAGGATTTTCAAAAGGATGCTCTTCGTTATCACAAAATTATAATATTAACCGATGCTGATGTGGACGGTGCTCACATAAGGACATTGCTACTAACCTTCTTCTTTAGATATCAGGTATGCAATGGGAATCTTAGTTTCTAGAAATAAGAAGATACTTGTATATATATATTATGGGTTGTATTGGCAAATTTAATTTACACGGAATTGAAATTGTTCTGCAGAGAGCTTTGTTCGATGAAGGTTGTATCTATGTCGGTGTTCCACCTTTGTACAAGGTATATATATCATCTTCAAGATAATTTTCCGAAAATTCTACTTTGATAAATTCTCTTTATATTTTTTTATTCGTCTTTTATTCATTTTTTTCAGGTTGAGAGGGGGAAGCAAGCACACTACTGTTACGATGAAGCAGAACTTAAAAAACTTCAGAGATCCTTCCCTGCAAACGCATCGTACACCATTCAGAGGTTTAAAGGTGAGTTTTGAATATTTATTTCCATAAATTCTTTATCTGATTTTTTTTTTTAATATAATATAAATAATTGATCTGATTGTTGTGTTAAAAAATGCAGGGTTGGGAGAAATGATGCCTTTACAGCTTTGGGAAACAACCTTAAATCCAGAAACTCGACTTCTGAAGCAATTAAAAGTAGAAGATGTGGGAGAAACCAATGTTGTTTTCTCGTCTCTCATGGGAGCACGAGTAAGTGGATTGTAAATTCCAATTTAATCTTTACATCGTTTATTCAAGAAAAGTTTGGTTCAATTTTGAGGGTTGTGTTATAAAATTGTTGGAGCCTGCCAAAAAAATAAAAAAATACCTGCTCGTTTTTTCAGGTTGATACAAGGAAGGAACTCATTCAGAAATCTGCAAATGCCGTAAAGATTGATTTACTCGATATATAAATCAGTTATTGGAGTTTTTTGTACGAGAAGCGGAAAAAGAAAAAACGGTTGATGATGGAAAAGCTCGTTAGTTCGTATATCTTGGGGAAAGTGCCATAGATGGAGCCTATTCTTGCATGCTCGATATATTTTGCTTAGGTGTTGTCTATCACTGTCGTATTTGGTATGATATATTTAAGTTGTAGGTAGTAGAGGCCAATGGATTTTTAATTTGTCCCGTAGGATTATAAACATATATTAGTTAGATTTTAGAATGCAGTGGTGTCGATCGAAAACTGTAATCTTAACTTTATCTAGCCATCTAATTATTCGTGTGTTTTTAATCATCCTTCCAATTCTTTTTCGTTACACTTCACTTGATAAAAACACGTTCAGAAAATGTTTTACACTTTGATGTGTGTTTTTTATATTACGATGACCTTGGAGTTGAGCAAAAAAAAAAAAAAAACGAATTGTTTTGAATCGTGTCAAGTAACAAACTGCTGGTGTTGGTATTTTAACTATGATTGTAGATATTATTTTTACGAACTTCTCAACTTTATTCGTATTTGCATTCTTGCTTTCTAGCTTTGAATGTCTTGATTCTGTAGGATATGTAAACAGTAAAAAGCTCGAACATGATCCAAATAAGCCGAAAAACAAACTGAAAACTGAACATATTCGGTTGTCTTAAAAACCCGATACATTTGGTTCACATTTTAGTGGAAAGGAGCATCTACTAGAGGGTAGACTTCTTGTGAAGAAACCTCAATACACAGAAAAATTATACGAAGCAAGAAATAGCATACAGCGTAGACGAAAGCTCTAATTATTATAAAAACATCAACACTGACGGTCAGTTCTATTTAAGAATATTCCAAAACGAAACAAATTCGCCAAAACAAACAACAGATCAGCCCTCGATACTGTCTTAAAAAATAGAACTGCAAAGCAAAAGCCCTATATCAATTTCACTCCTACCGCAGACAACGAATCAATTACCGCTTTAACCTTGCCATGGTATTTCTGATCTTTCTTCAAGAATACCGAAACAGCAGGTATATTTTGGTGCAGAAGTCTTTCGCCGAGTATTTTTCCGATTTTAGCAGCAGCAGCTACATCTCTAGTGTTTTCTTTAGCCTTTTCCATACTCAATCTCAGTGCCTTCTCTTGTGTGCTGGCTGAAGAAGCCACCGTGGCAGTTGGTGTGTGGACAACTTGTGCGTTGACAAACTTGTTCGTAAAGTGCATTCTCAGGACATAAGGTTTGAGAAACTTTGTCACTCTGTCTAGCCTTACTGGAGGAATAACCATTTTCTGTCCTGAAAAAACCAAAAAAATTAGAGAACAAATTAATCAAGTACGTGGTAGTTTTACATGTGTCGAGACTCGAGACAATAATTTCAATGGAACATTGTAAAAATGCGAGTATTACTTTTACTTGAAGAAATGATACAAGTACAATCGGACAAGTTCTACTTCGATCTTGGCCTATTATTCTCGATGAGAATGTTGAATTAAAATCCTTCTGCTACTTCCTTAGCTCGTTTTTTGGGTGAATTAACATCGTTCATTTTAAAAAAAATGAACGAACAGAGCATATCTGTGGTGGCTACTTCCTTTGCTACTTATATCATCCCTCGTCTTAAACCATCTTTTGGAGCAAGACAGAGAGATAGTTCGAAGCAAGTAAAAGACGACTCAGAAAAAAACAATTCGAAACAACATAACATCACATGATTGGAGCGTTCTGCAAACCGGAAGAACATCAGATACATTCGATAAGAATCTCAAATATTTCGAACACTCTCTTATATCACAATTCATAGATACGATGTTAACTTCCAATAAAATTTCCATCGGAAACATTCACCAAAGCCGAAGTAGGCTTACTTAAAATCCCATAGGCATCTTCTTATTGCACTCATCTTCAGAATACATTAAATCTCGAATAGAGGCTACTTACAGCTTGAAAAATCGAACGAACATAATCGCGAACACACAGATTGAATTCCATGAGAAAATGCTTAAACAAGTTACCGAGGACGAAATTTCTCGGGATTATTATAGTTTGATGATTAACATACAAACTCCATCACCACACTAAAAATGTTAGCAGATATGCATAAATATTTCAACACAAAATTAAGGAAAAATTCTTCCGCCATTCTCTCTTGTTCAAACTATCCACCAAAGAAACATAACATATCACACAAATGTTAACATAGAAAACCTAATATTATTCAATTGAATAATCTGCCAAATTTTATCAATTTCAGTGAGGAAAAAGGAAAAAAAAAAATCGAAAAAGAAAGAAGAAAGAAACCCTATCTTCATTTATAAGCAATTATAACAAAAGGACCGGACTTCATTACCGATCGAAAAGTTGATATTTCAAAACCTCATTCACCTAACGTACCAATTCAGTAAACTAAGAGAAGAAATACATTGAAAATTTCAGGTCGCGTACCGATGCCGAAACTGCGGCGGAGATCAGCGGCGGAGAACTGGGTAGGAGAGCGGCGGCGTGATAACAGGGCGGAGCAAAGATGGAGTGGAGATGAAAAGAGACTGAATTCAGTTCTACTCAAACTCGTGTTTTCCTGATATCAAAACTCGCGTTTTAGGGCCTTTGATTTTTATAGGGTAAATTACGAAAAAACCCCTGAACTTAGGCTAAATAACAAAAATACCCCACCTATATGTAATAACCAAAATCCCACTCTGATTAACTGTTGATCGAGTTTTTTAACAGAAAATTTGTACAGTACCTTCTTTTAAAAAAGTGAGGAATAAAAGAAAATATCTGAATTGTGTAAAGTCTATTAATTCGAATAAAAAAATATCCGTGAAAAGTCACACCGTAGGGGTTGGTGTAAGATGGAAATAACCTCAGGAGGTTTTTGATAATTACAAATATGTGGAGGTATTTTTTGTTATTTAGCCTAAGTTTAGGGGTTCTCGTAATTTACCTATATTTATATGATTAGTTTAGTGTAACTCATTACATTTTGGCACACATAAATCTTTTTCTAAAAAATAAAAATAATAAAATTATATGTTTATATATACTCTCTCATTCCCATTTTAATTGTCGTTTTAGGTTAATTCACATATATTAAAAAAAAATGTGCATGAATTCTAGAAAAATCATAATAAAATGACTAAAAAACCATTTTCATAAATGCTTTACCATTAAATCTCTTAAGAGTACTAAGAGCATAATTGAGAAAATACCATAAATATTTTATTGGAATCTTAATTCATTATTTTGAGAAAAAAAAATCTCTCGAAAGACAAATAAAATGGGAAGGAATGAATAAATAATTTTTGGAAGTGAAGAAATAATTATGATCGCCAAAGTTTTAGACATTTGAACTTCTTTTGATATCGAAAAGAAATAAATTGATATTTGTTGGAAGTATGTTATTTATGTATTTCTTTTTTGAGTTGAAGAAAAATATTAGTTATCCATCGCAATTTCATAAATTGAAATAAAAATTTGTGCTAAAATAGGATTTTTTCGTAACAAAATCGACAAAAAAAAGAAGTAATTAACACTTAAACCCCCTATAGTTTGAGTTTTCTACACATGACTCATTATACTTTCCATATAGGATTTGGACCCCTTTTATTTTAATATAAGCACATAACCTTCATGTACTTTCAAAAAAAATTTATTTGCCTAATGAGCATGATTATTTATGAAGCGGAATACAATAGAGGGTTATGTGCTTATATTAAAAGTGCGAGGGGTCGTGTGCACAAAATTCAAACTACAGGAAGATCATGTATTTGTATCAAAAGTTCAAAGGAGTCATATGCACAAAGCTCAAACCACATGGGTTAAACTCTCATTTTCTACCCCTACTACTTGTGAACCTAGCCACGTGTCACTGTAAATCCACTAGACGAGACAATTATACTTTTGGTCCCTCATATTTGGTCCGGTTCTATTTTTGGTGTCCTTATTCCAAAGTAAAAGAAGTTCACTTCCAAGTTTCTATTTTATACACTTTTCCTCCACTCCGTCACACATGGGCGTTAACAATTGACAAAAAACACTATTTTAGGGCTAAAAATAAAATTTAATATTGTTGCTTACGCCCTGAAAACAACTAACAAAAAACACCTATATTCTTTTATAGCCCCAAAATAATATTAAATTTCATTTTCAGCCATGAAAAAGTGCTTTATGTTAGTTGCTAACGCCCATGTAGCGGAGTGGACGAAAAGTGCATAAAATGGAAACTTGGAGGTGAACTTTGTACAATTTAGAACAAGATGGACCAAAAGTGGAATCGAGCCAAACATGAGGGACCAAAAGTATAATTATCCCTCCACGAGACAGAATATGCCAACACGAGTATTCGAATCAGTTCAAACTTTGGAAACTATTCTTCACAAGAAAAACACAAACAACCTCAAAATTAATTTCATCATAAAATTTTCCTGCCTAAAACGATGCAAGAATTGTGTTTGAAGTTTGTTACCACAGACAGCTTATTGAGGTATGAATTCATTCCTCGGCATTGTTTGTGTCTGATGTTTGTTTATATGTACGTTGCATGAAGTGTTAAATTTTATTATCTTTGTTTATATGCACACAACCTGTTTGATGTATTGCTTCAGTGGAGTTTGGCTTATTCCTATGTGATATTTTCAGTGAAATTTTGACATAAAATTGAATTTTAATGATGCTGTCTATTTACATCTTGATGTTCCATTACATGGAAAAGTTCGAAAACTTGAAATGTAACGAACAATGACCTTCGTTATTACACAATCAATTCTATTGATCCGATTCATAGGATGTCGTAAGCTTTAAGGTTTCTCAGAAATGTTTCTCCGATTTTGGATCCTTCCTTGACAAAAATAGCCGGATATCCTATTTGAGCTTCGACCCAACTTTCGGTGCCTTGTTTCGGATATATTTTTCCTGTCCAAACATGCTTCCAAGAACAGCTCTCGCTTTGCGGGAAGTAAACCTTAACAACTCCCTTTCCTTTGTCAAGAACCGGCACTACTAGTATCTCTGTGCCGACTAGAAACTGCTCGTATGTTAGTGTCTGCACGTATTCATCTTCCGGATAATGAAGGAATAGGTGTCGACAAACAGGCAACCCCTTTTCAGAAGCTTCCTAATAAAAAACAGAAAATAAAAAATAAAAATACCCGTTTTTAGATTGGAGGGTTCTTCATTTAGCATTTATAAATTAGATGATGATAATTATTATTTGTTACCTTTACGAGCTCGATTCTGTAAAACTTCCACGCTTTGTATATCTTCGCACACCGTGAAAAGTGAGATAGAGTCCTCTGGTTCGAGTAGAACTGACTATTGCAAGACGGCTTGTTTCCCTAAATCAAGAATGTGAATATACACTAGCATAAATTTCACAAGTTCTTTATCGTACGTTACATTAATGCTCGTGTTTTTCAATACTTACTTCGTGTGTTCGAAAAACAGTGGTGAATGCGTTGAGCTCCATCCATCGAAGGAGAAGTTCTTCACTCCTTTGGTACTTGAAAAACGGTAAGCTGACAGAACAATAGCCTCCGATATCGCTATGGTTGAAAGCGTAGCCCGAAATTCCACTAGTGAGTAAACCTAAGACAGCACTCTTGATCCCATCGTTGGCTTGCCAGCTAACCATTTGGTCGCCTTCCCAAAATAGACTTGCCCATTTCGGGCTTTCTCGAAAACCGGCCCTCATGAAAAAAACTAGATCCTCTTGTGGATCTTCCTTAGCTTTGCCGATTCGACTGGCTTTCCATTCTTCGACGAATTCTCTGTTTATTTTTGCCCACAGCTCCGGATATCTGTTGTGTGCAGTCATCGGATCTTCTCCTGAAAAATATTTACAAAAGTAACTAGGTAAAATTAAATGTTTAATTTTTTTTTATAATTCTCATGCTATAAACATACAAAGTTGTGAAACGAAATTCGAAATAAACCTGAATAGAGACAGGCATCGACGGGTAAACCCTCGCCAAAATCAGCCATCCATCCTCTAACTCCGTCATCCACCATTTCTTGCAAAATCTGTTTGAACCAACCTGCCGTTTTCGGATGCGTAAAATCCAACATTCCGACATCGAAAGCTGTATTAGGAACCATGTATATTCCTCCTTCACTGTCCTTCACTAGTATGTCCGATTTCACCGCCTCCTCAAATAGGTTTCTTCTTACATTTCTCTTTTCACCCATCTTCAGTAATAGACATTCTAAGTTATTACCATTTTTCAAGATTATGCTCTCTCTCTCTCTCTCTCACACACACACACACACACACACACACACATATATATATATGAGAAGATTACTGAAAAAAAGACACGTACCGGAGTTAAACAAGGATTGCAATACGTCATCACTTTAATATGCTGAGCACTTAGATCTTCGATTAATTGTTTCCATCCCGAATATCTATGCGAATCCACTTCCCAGTTCCACCATAGTTGCGAACCGATAACCGTTTTCCTTTGTCCTACCCAGTCCTGCATGAAAAAAACGTCCTTAAAAAAAATGAATTCTTGTTCCGAGTTTTCTTGTTCTTGCTCTTTATTTATTAAAGTGGCGATTGCTTTTTTTTTTTTTGATAGTTACCTGCAACCAAAATGCAGATATTGGAGTATCTTTGGCTCGTAGCTCGTCCAAGATGCTTCGTACTTTATCGGTGCCGCCTTGCATGCCTACAACAGCTCCTGAAATTATCCAATCCGGAAGCTTCTCCGGCCTCCCTATGGTTTCTGTAAAGTGTTCGATAAGCTCAACGGGCGAGTTTCCGTTCAGTATTCTACCTTCGATCGTATCTCCGTGTATCTGTAAGTATTTTCGCAAGTTGCCATAAAAAAAATCATTGCATTTTGTTATTTATGTATTTATGCAGAGAAAGATTAGACCGGTTATTACATTACCTGTATTTGAACACAATCATCCTTAGTTAGATCGAAGACCGAGTAATTGTATCCTTCTAGATAAAGCGATTTCATCTTCGACGTCATGTAAAAAGGCGAAGGAGCATAAGTTGTACTGTCATCACCCCCTGCCCTGCATTTAGATTAAATTAGTCTATAAATTAATAGAGTCGGGACGAACAAAAGTCTATTAATTTAGCGAAATATTAAAGTATCGAACTAATAATTCGGTAGGTTTTTACCGAGTCGGGACTGGAAGAAACTATTATTTAAGTGAGGCTATTAATTTATCGAGTTTCTACAGTATTTTTTTATATTTTTTTACCTGAAGCTAACCAAATTAGCAGCAAAAGTGATAGGTTGATCCCCTCTCCCAATTCCTTGTTCTTGAACGAAAATCGGCACTTTCCTTCCTTTAAAATCCATGTGCGAAAACTGCTCTCCGAAACCAAAAAACCTCTCGTTTTTCTCACTCGAATACGTCACACAAACCCTATTAAAATCGGGCAAAATCGCATTCTTCATCGCAGCATTTTCGTCCTCTTGTGAAGCCGATACAACCACCCTCTTCCTCGAAAAACATCCACACCAACCAACCACTCTAACTCTTCGAATCCGACCGACTTTTCGACCAAACCCTTTGTAGCCATAGCTTTTCGGAGACAGCTTCTGCTTCAGCTTCTGCTTCTGTCCGAAACTCGGCTTTCCGAATCGCAACCGAAACCCGACTTGATTACAATTCCTCTGATCAAACACCATCCAATACTTAGCATAAAATGCCACCTGTCCTTTCTCCACAACCTCAAAAGATTCTTGATTCCCTTTTTTCTTCTCTCTCACACTAAAAATCCTTCCTTTGATCAGAAGAGAAGATTCTTGCTGTATGATCCTTATCTCTTCAATAGTTTGATGATTGCATAGTAAGTGGATTTCTCCATCCTTGATGAGGAATGATCCTCTGCTCTCCTCCACTTCGGTATCCGCTGCACCTGCGGAAACGAAGGCCCGGCCCGGTACGGTGGACCAAATTGATCTTGTGGGATGAGAGTTGTGGTGAATTGAGAGGGACCCACCATTGTCTGATGACCAATTGAGATGAAAATCGAGGCCAATATCGTAAATTCGGTGTGGTGGGAGTGTGTGTGGATCGAAAATCAGAGCTCCTTTGATGAAAGGTAGAGTCTTTGGCTTTGATGGGAAAGGGTTGTTTATGTGTTTATGGTGTTTTTTGGTTGTTTTGAAGGTTGCCATTTTTGTTGACTCTGTTTTTCTTTTTTGGCAAATGAACTGTTTTTAAAATTTTTTTTTTTAATTTTATTATTCTGCATTACCAGGTTGTTATATATAGACTACAGTTTCTTCTTCTTTTTATTATATATAGATCTTTATATATACATATAAAGATTTGATTTTTTTTAATTTATATATACGAGCCAAAAAAACGGATCTTATGATTATCTGCCTTCAAAATGTGGAGCTGGATGGGATAAAACGGACACAAAATTCAGAGTTTTCATATACTCCCTCCGTTCCTAAATATGTGTCGTTTTTCACCTTGGCACAAATCTTAAGAATCTCAATAAATATGTCTTGATTTTAAGAAAATAGGTATTGATGGACCAAAATACCCTTGTTTATTAATTAATGCATGAAGTGTGCTATAGAGTTAATAAGGGTAAAATTGAAAAATAAGCAATTAATGCAGCATTGAAATTGTAAAGTGATAGATAATATGAAACAAAAGAAAAACTCAAAAGAGACAGATATTATGGAACAGAGGGAGTAATTTAGAAGATTACACTAAATTTGACACCATGAGAATGGACGTGTAAGAAAATTTATAATTGAGGGGGCGTAGTTGTAAGTATCCAATTATGAAGGGTTTTTTTGTAATTTAACTATACCTTAGGGTGGTTGTAATTTAGCCTAAAATAAAATTCATGACAGACATATGATCAAAATCTTTGACCGTTAGATTAGACACAAATAGAAAAATGAAAAGTCTGAATTTTTCAAGTTAAAGATATACTATAAGTCCTAGAAGAATAAAATTAAATGTTTATAAATTAAAATCATTTTTTTATCCATTTTCTTTTATAAAATACAGGAAATTTTATTACAAGAAATTAGATACTCTGTTATATGGTGGCCCATATGCAGGTTTAGGTATGTAGACGATTTTGCTGAAATGTTCATATGCGTGTAACGTTGATATTGCAATAATGCATTAAGTAGTGAATCTGGCCCAGATTCACATAAATATTCATTAGTATTGAGAATCTTTAAGATTCCTCTTGGATGTAAGAATTTGAATTTTAGGGATAACTAACTTAAGGAAAATGGCAAATTACGTCCACCCGGAATTAAGGTCGAACAACCAAAAACTCCCTTATGTTTGAATAATTATACAAAAAAAACCTCGTCCTCAGTATGTAAATTTGACCATAGGAATGAATTTGTAAAACTATAGATGATAGTTTATGAGTTGTTGTAATTACCCAAATATGAGGGTTGGTTTTCGTAATTTGATGTTAGGATGGTCTTTAACAAGTTGGAACCTTGCCGGGATTGGGTCACTATTCTTAGTAAGAATGTATGTAGTCGTTTTCTGAGCCTAGATTCCTATGCATTATAATTCTCCAGGTTCATTGGAGTTCATGTTGACATTGTTTTTCCATGATTGTATGAACTACATGACACATAATCTAAACGAATCGAGTCGAGCTGAACACATACCTGCTCAAACTCATTTTCATCAGGCTTTCGAAATTGTATTCGAATTTGTTTTGATAAGCAATTATGTCGAGCTAGAATGAGATTCAATTAAGTCAACATGACTTAATTTTTCTGTTGTACATATCTCATCTTTCTTTCAAATTGAACTCAAGTTCGAGCCAAGCTTCGTAGCTTATTGAACCAAATCAGAAGTTTGGTTCGTTTTAAGAAATCGAGCTTAAACATGATTCAAACAACACAATCTCAAATAGAGTTATAATAAAAGAACGAGTCTTCCGAAGTTTGACGCAGATCTCATAACTACGATAGACAAGAATTACCTAACTGACGTGGATACCTACCGTAAATAGACTAATTTACCTCCTCGTCTAGAGTATATGAACAGAACGGAAGAGAAGTTCGGGAAAAATCGAGAAAATCAAACAAACATCCAGAATCAAGAAACATTTTCTCAATCCATAATTCCACAATTTTAACTAACTTCAGCCCAAATATACACTTAAAATTCTCTAACAAAGACCATCAATACTACACTACTTTAAAGAAGAACACAAAAAGAAGATTAACACATCTTCATAAAAAATAACAAAACTTCTAACGAAAAAACGGCAGGGGGCTCACTCCAGCAACTCATCCACGGGTGACTTCCTAAACGCATCAACACGCGCCAACTGAGCTGCCAAAGCCTTATTTGGAAACATATTATCAGCCTTCATCCTATCACTGAACCCATAAACCGGCATCTTAGCATTTATGTACGCCTGAAGAAGCGTATGGTACAGCTGGAGCCTCGTAGAATAACCGGCCCGTTTCATCATCAAGAATATACTCTCTGCATTATGCACATCACCTCTCTCTGCATACTTACTCATAACAGCCAGATAAGTCGAAAACATGGGTTTATTCCTACTCTGCTTAACCGCCTTCTCAAGAATCGAACTCGCTTTCACAACTTCATCGGACGCCACATAGAGCTTCACAATAGCATCCCAAGTCAACGGTTCAAAGGTACACCCACTCTCCACCATCCGTTTCACCAGATCTTTCCCCTTATCCAGCATCTTGTGGTTAGTGTAGACCTTCAAAAGGGCGTTGAAGTGCTTCGAAGAGGGCTTTTTTATCTTTTCAACAATTTTATCAAACGCCGCCTCGGCTTTTTCGATATTGCCGAGATGCCCCCAAGCTCCAATGGCTGCCATGGCTTCCACGAACCGTGAGTTGGGCTCGCAGACTTTCCAGATTCTTTCCACTTCGTCTGCTTTTCCGAGGGTTGCGTAAATTGGAATCAACCATTGACAAATCCAACGATTCTTGGATATATCTCCACCTTCCATTTCTATTAAGACGGACTCTGCTTTGTCTTTTAATCCAGCCCAAGCATAGTGCCTAGCTAATGATGCCTGAATTTGAGTGCTAGGTTCCAGCCCTTCGGATTTCATTGTCTCGACGATTTGTTCCATCCCTTTAATATCTTTCGACTGCCCTTTTACGTCGATCAAGACTTGGTAAGTGAAGAGGGATGGTTTGATGTTTTCTTTCTCCATCAAGAGAAGTACGTCGGCGATTTTCTTCTTGTCGGTTTTCTTGTACAGGAGTAGCAATTGGTTGCAGGAGAAGCACGAAGTGTGGAATTTCAAGTCTTTCATTTTGTTGAAAAGCTCCTCGGATTTTTTCACGTTGTTGGCAGTGACGCAATTGGCTAAAAGGGTACGGTAAACTAATTCGTCTCTGAAGGAATCAGGAATCTGCTTAAGGTATTCCTCTGCCTTTGCAATACCACGCAGTTTTGCTATTAAATCAAGACGGGAAGCGTAATGACTCTCAAGGAATTGGAGTTTTTTCGTTGATTGCAACCATTCTAACAGCTGCAAAAGAGGAAGGGAAAAAAAAGGATCAATGCAAAAAGAATGGAGCACTAAGTTTTCTCTTTGATTTTAGCAGTAAACTGTTTGTTCTATTCCAATAAATTCAAGAAATAGCTTCATGAAAGACCTAAGATGAGGGTAACTTAAGAATCTGATGCCATGGAAATAATCCCCAACAAATTTATAAATGATACAAGAAGATATAAATATAAATGTCACATTTTAATTGAAAGATTGATTAATGCACAATGATTTCAACAGTTAAATACTTGAAGGCAAGAGACACTTGATTACTGGATTCATGATCTAGTAAAGTGTAAGACTCTTGAGTACTAACTTGTATTATGAATAGGGGTGGAAATTGGACGGATCTTTGGAAGGATTTCAATTTTTTTCGGAAGTGGAAAATTAATTCCAATTCCATTAAGAAAAAAAGGGGAAATTGGAAATCAGAATTTCGAAAATTGGAATGAAAAAAACTTGTTCCACAATTGAAATTTTTTGGACAGGAATCGGCAGAATTCGAAAATTCCAATCTTTTGGATGCCTATAATACAAAATGCATAATATTATTCATATTATAAGTGTAATTTTTGGAAGAAAAAAAGTCAGAAATTTTTGGAAATATTTTCAAAATTAAAATTGGATAGGAAATTGGAATCTAATATGTACTCCAATTTCATTCAAAAAAAAAAGACAGAACTTTGTGAATTCGGAATTTATGTTCCAATTTCCAACCCTAATTGCGAATGCTCATCTAATTGACTAAAGCTTCACCAGAAAAAAAAATCAGATTTATTAATTGTAAATACTCACCTGCAAGGCCTTGACAAACATCCTTCGTCTCCGAAGATGAAGCATTGTTAACGACACCTCTAACTGCGTCACTTCATTTCCTTCTTTAACCCATTTATTCAAAACCGTGTTCACAGACGAGGCAGGAGCAGCTAGGATAGCTTTAGTCATTTCTGAATCAGCTCTAGTTCTTGCTGAACTTTTCCCTCCACCGATTTTTGTTTCCAATACATCCTGTATATCATCCAAAATGCTTTCCTCTTCAGAGAGATCCGATTTAGAGCTTAGATCATCATCGCTCTCACTTCCTTTTCGGGCTGTGTCGAGTGGACTTTCGAGCTCGGAAAAACCATCCTCCAAATCGTCTTTGTCTTCTTCACTGCTATCAGCACCCGCCTGTGACGAGAAAGAGAGAACTGCACCACGCGACTTTAGAGAGCTTGACGATGTGTTGTACGATCTTGTGGAAGATAGCAGTCCACCGATTGACGTTACTTGAGGTTCGATGATTCCAGCATTGCAATTTTCGAAATAACATCTTTCTATCTCTGATTTCCCGATGCTAATTCGACCAGTCCCTGAGCTTAATCCTCGATTCCTGTAACACATACAAGATTGATAACAGCACTAAAATTGGCAGCCAACGAGGGCCACAAATCAGAAAAAAAGAACATAAAATACGTCGTTCCAGTCTTCAAAGTCACAACTCGTTAACCCATTTACGAATAAAATCGAATGGTAGCGATGAACAGTATTTAGATATGCGATCACACTCCAATAGCAAAGAAAATCTGAGATATCTCCATTTTTTTTCTTCCAATTTTCATTGATAAACAAATCACTGAAATAAACAGCAATTACACAATACTAACCTTCTCAAACGTCAAAAAAAAAAAAGGAAAAAAAAACACGCACACACATAACACATAATCACTGTACCGCAGAAGACTACGCAGAATCACGATTTAAATACACAAGCGCTGAGTATTCAGACATAAAACATGAATTACAGCTACATGAATACGGATTCAGACAAAAAGGTGCGCACATATACATAGAAATTAAGAAGAACGAATTACCTGAGATGTACGGATGCTCTGCGAATCGCCCACATTGTAATCGTCCGAATCTTCAATTTCGGTAGAAATTTGAAGAGAGTAGTGAGAGAAAGAGTGACTGTAAGTGCTAGTGCGAGAGAAGTTTCCTAAACCCTAAAACCCCTTTTGAGAGTGACTCAAAATAGGTTTGTGTAATTTCCGGAATGACCCCTTTACTTTCATGTAATATCATTTAGGCCCCAATAGTTTTTTTGTTCTTTTTCTCTTACTCAAGGGCCTTGTTGTTGCACGAGTCATTAGTGGGATTAATTTGGATTGGATCGTATTATACAACTCTCTAATAAAAACTTGTTAATACGATTTTTATTTATTTATTTATTTCATTTTAATTTGAAAAAAATCAAAACTTAATAATAGGGGTGTAAACGAGCCGAGCTCGAGCCGAGCTCGCCTCTTTTGGCTGGCTCGAGCTCGAGCTCGAGTTTATTTTGTCGAGCTCGAGCTCGAGCTCGAGCTCGCGAGCTCCTCTTTTTTTGGCTCGAGCTCGAGCTCGTGTCAGTTGTGTCGAGCTCGAGCTCGAGCCCATTGTCTTTTTTTTTTTTTTTTTTTTTTAAATATTTTTTTAATTATTATTTTATTATTAAAAATTATTTAAAAAAATAAAAAATAAAAACTAAATTGTAATTATATATATTTTTAATATTTGTATTTATTTCTATAATATTTTACATTATTTAAATAAAAATAACATATAAAAAATAAAAAAAATAATAAAAAAATAATAATAAATCCGGCTCGCGAGCCGGCTCGCGAGCTCATGAACAACTGAAAACCGGCTCGAGCTCGGCTCATCAGAAAGCTCGAGCTCGCGAGCTCGAGCTCGAGCTCGAAAATCTCGAGTTCGAGTTCGAGCTTTTTACGAGCCGGCTCTTCGAGCTCACGAGTCGGTTCGGCTCGTTTACACCCCTACTTAATAATATGCCGAATTTGAGGATAATGGGCCTCGGGCCATCATTTATCATTAATACTATAGCCCGTAGCCCGGTAACCCGGCCCATCAATAAATATCCAAAACAAAAATATCTAGTGCCCTTTTAAACTTTTGTCTTATTCTTAGCTTCATTTGAAAGCAAAGCACTCTTCACAAATTAAACGGAACCCTAATTATTCGAATTGAGGCCTGATTTTGAAGGGAAGACTTTCGCAGGGATAGGTTCGTCCTGAAATTCTACTTCTTCATATGTGTTTTGCGGTTTCATATATGTGTTTACGATTTTTTATTGTTGTTTGTTTGTGTAAAATGCATATGTTTTCAGCGGGTTCATTTGTATCGAACTCAAATCATTGATCAGAAACGCGTCGATTTTATTTATTTTAATTTTATTTCCTTGTTGGTATTAAATTAGGTAGTAATGGATTCAAATGCGCGGGAAAGCTTGGACTCGAAGGCAGAATTTAGGAAGCCTTCGAATGATGCAGCTTCGAGGAAGTACCGGCGTCGATCTCCGGCCGGTGGGTCATCATCTTCGTCTGACGGTGAGTTCGCATGATATGATTTAGATTCGTTACTGAATTATGTATTTATTGATTTTTGTATGTTTAGTCTAATGGTGGAATGTTGGAAATTATGCTAGTAGAGATTGTGCTTGTATTAAACATTTGCGTGGAAATGTTTGTTTTCAGCTTTGTGTGTGGTTTCGAGTGACATTTCCAGGAATAATTCGTTTGTTTCTATTATATTAGACGGTGTATTGAAGCATCATCTAGAATGAGTATTGTATATAGAAGTTTAGTCTAGCATAATTTATGTGTATATATTACTTTATAGGAAAACTTTGTGTTTGTCAATGTCGCAATTAAACTTGAAAAATAAAATTCATCTTGAACTGTTTATCCTAAACCCGGAAAACAAAACTGTTCTTCTTGAACTGTCTATCATATGTTGTAGGTTGTACTCTGATTTAATATATGCTTCATTTTCTGTATAGTGATTGTAATTAACTATTCTTTTACTCCTATAGCTTAATTACATGTATTCAGGGAGTCTGCATCGAGATCGAAGCTCGAGTCCTCTCCCACGAAAGAAGGACAGTATAAGAGTTGCTGATGATAATCGAAAAACTGAGGATGGTAGGAACCTGTCTGGCCGCAGTGGTGAATCATATAAATATACTGATCGGCATTCATCTAAAAACTACCCTAGACATGATGAACATAGCAGACGTGATAGGCATGTTGATGACTATGACAGAGGCTATTCGAAGTCATCTTATCGTTCTAACCGGGACCAACGAGACAACGGTAACTTTGATCACTCGAGGTCAGATAAAGAGCACAGATCTAGAGATTATATCAAAGATATCGACACACACTCTCATGCAAAATCCGATGGTTTGGTGAATAGAAGTAGGGATAAGGAAAAATACGAGAGAGCTGGATCTGGTAGAGGCGACCAATATGTAAAGACAGATCGCAGAAAGAGTTTGGGGGATCAAAGTGATTCTTCTTCTCGGAAAGATACCTCTGGACATCGTTTGAAAGAAACTTCCTGGAGAGAGGGGAAGGAATTGAATGCTGAGAAGTATGTAAATGATGAAAAGAGGAAATTTGATAATCGGAGTATATACAAGGAGGAAGGTAATGGAGAAGCAAAGGAGCATTCGGATGATAAATCCATCAAATTTACAGAAACTGTTACTAAGAAGCCGAAGTTTTCTAGCCTGGACAGTAAAGCTCCTGTAACAGATGGTATGGTCATTGTACCCTCTAGTAACTTGCTATGTAGTCCATTTTGCATTTTGCATGTTTGATATCATTTGGGACTTCTCATACAGGTACTTCTGAGCAGCCTTATGTGACAGATTCTGATATCGATGCTGCAAAAATTGCTGCCATGAAAGCTGCTGAATTAGGTAGGTCAAAGTATTCCCTCTCTGGAGTATGAATGCATGGTAACATGTATTTTCCAGTTGAATGTCGTATAATACTATTATTGTAAAATTAGACAATGTTTTGGTACACCTGCTAAGCGGTCTTTGTTAGACTCCCCATATTTCGTTACTTTCCGATTCTTTTAAAAAAATTGGCCTTGTGACATGACCTTACAACACACGCACCCAGAGGGACCTCTCACCAAACACCAATATGGAGAGACTCCCATACCACTAGGCTAAGCCTTATTTGGGTTGTGAACTATTTATGTTTACATTGGATCTATTGAATTCTTGGAAGTTGATTCTATGTTTGAATGATAATGCAGTGAATAAGAATTTAGTTGGGACTGGGTACATGTCGACTGATCAAAAGAAGAAGCTTTTGTGGGGCAGCAAGAAGAGCACCGCTACAGAAGAGGTACTTCTAATATTGCTAGTGTTTCTTTTATACTCTACTCTGGCTGACTCCTTCTCTTTTCCGAACTAATTATGAAACTATATCTTATTTATTTTGAGATCCGCAGTCTATTGAATGTGGTGAGTAAATTTACATTTAAATACCTTTGCTTAACTGTTAAAGAAACTAATTTCGAAGACAATATTTGCTTACAAGTAGGACCAACCCCATATTGACAACTGCAAGAACCGTTTTTGTTATTTTGTAATTATTATTATAGATTTATCATTTTATGGTGTGATTCATTATGGGATTTACCATCTTCTCTTTTCTGCTGTATGGTTTAATACAATGCGTCCATATAGTCTGCTCATCGTTGGGACACAATAACCTTTGGTGATCGTGAACGGCAAGAAAAATTCAACAAACTCATGGTAATTTCCTTACCCGTTTTTTCTGGTTTACTGTTGAATCATATGGTGCATAAAAATCCCCATATTCATGGATTTATTCTTTTCGATTTAGTAGTTAGAAAAATTTCATTCCAGCATACTAACACTCTTTCAGAATCTGAGGTTGCCTTGGTACCTATTGCCAATTGTAGGGAGTAAAGGCGGACCCTGTGGTTGTGGAGCACAAATCAGACAATCCCGATGTAGAGAAGCAAAGGGAGCAGCTTCAGATGGATTTGGAGAAGCAATACACAGCTGGATTGCGTCGGAGAGATGGTCGAACTGTTGGACTCGGTCTTTAAATTCTCTCTTTAGGTACTCTCGTCATGCTTGTATTATTAGTCAACTTTTCGTGATTATGTTATATTGCTTTACGAAACTGTTCTGTAATATGTTGAAAGTCCGTCACGTGGAGATTTTTGTGGTAATTGGTAAGGTTGCTATGCTTTGTCAGATTAAATGTGCTTATTTGTTTTGTCTGCGCCTTTTATTACAACGAGGTACGAGGTTTAAATATGTAATCGAGTTGAAGGGTCTGCTTCAGTTTTTTAGGATCGTATAACATGTGAGAAACCAACTTACATTTCTTGGAAACTTGTCAGTATTTCCTTGCATTTTAACTTCATGTTGGTATTGACAGCATAACTAAGGTCGAATATCTAATAAGAATACATGATTGAAGATCGATCGATTGCTAAAAGTTCGTTCAGATTTGATTCTTGAACCTCAATCTTACTAACATTTTTTTTAAATCCCTATGTACATTTTTTCAAAACACAGTTTTCTAAATGGTGAATTTAGTTAAGAAAAAATATACTAGGGAGGTTTTTACTAACAAAAATATAAGGGGGTGTTTATTTGCAATTAAATTAAACACGGTAGAGATCAATAATTCGATGTGCATTTTATTCGATTATGTTCAATAATTAATATTAATTATTAGCTTTTCATTTGCTCTTTTCTTGGAATTTACGTTTTGCTTTTTCATATAATTTATTAATATTAGGAGTCAAAACAATCTTCTCCACGTTACCTATATTTAGTAAATACCTAATTAATTAATTATTGGTCATTAAAAATGGTGACTAGTAACTTATTTCAATTCTATACAAGCAAATTAGGTACCAAGATTTTACCTACATCTATAATTGAGATTAGCTTCTCTACCTTTACTTCCTACTCACTATGTTCCATAAAATCTGTCTTTTACCAGTTTTTTGTGTTTTACTTTATAATTCCGATACTGTATTAGTTACATATTTTTCAATCATACCCTTATTAACTATGCAATACTATTTCTACATTAATTAGTAAACAAAGGTATTTTGGTCTATTAATATTTTTTTTCTTGTAAAATCATTGACATATCTTAAAATTTGTGCCAAGGTGAAAAACGACATAAATTTACAATCGCTTGTATTTTCACATACAATGTTAAAGTTGCCTCTCCAGCAAGATTATCTTGGAGGTTTACAGGGTAATTCTGCATTCATGTATAATTGCTTGTAAATTATAGGAGATAAGTAAATTATACTCGAGTAACCATGTGTGACAAGTTCGACCTAGTAGCTGTAGTTAAAAGAATCTGAATGTGGGTTAATTGACACATGATCAGTTACTCCAACCGTCTTAACACACTACATTAAGTTACTTCATAATTTGAAAGATGGCATCAAAGCTTGGAATTAAATCATTCATAATTAAGGACAAATAGGTTATATTTGTTTGGTCCCAAAAGTTGGGCAAATTTCTGTGCCACGTGGCCATAAATAGGTGAGCTGTAGCCACCCACTAAACTGTTTACTTTTATGCAACACCCCATCACTCAAGTAAATGAAGAAGTTCGGCACGCAGTTATTCTGATGATATTTAGATAACCCACTTTAATTATTTTCCCCCTAAATGGAAACAAATAAATAAATAAATTAGCCCCTCCTAATTTGTTTTGTTTATGAGAATGATGTCTTAATTAATTATTTGAAGTTAGAACCACAAATGAATACGCAAACACATTGTCTTTGTTCCTAGTTTTGTCTCTTGATGTTCTCTAAAGACATCCCACATTGTTTTCACCAAAGTGTGCCCATACATTTGGCCTAACTTTTTTGGTTTTACTCCAAATTTTTACTTAGATTTTTATTCCTCAGTTGTAAATATTTTTGAAAAAAAATTAAAAAAAAAATCAGCCATTCTTGAAACGCCACGTGTCTTTTTAGAGCTTCTCCCAACAGTTGTGGCAATTCAATGCAATGTAGATGCCACCGCAGCAATAAAGGAGAGTTTAATAAGAACATTGGTTTCTTCTTCTTCTTCTGCTGTGGGAGTTGTAACTCCCAACTATCAAATGAAATTTGTCGGTTTTGTTGTTGTCCTCAAAAATATAATTTTAATAAAAAATTGTCATTTTCTTACAGATTATCTTGATTTATGTTTATATTACAATATTACCCTCTTGTCTACTCCGCCCCAATATCTTCTGCTAATTAATGAGTAATTTACCCTTTTTTGCTTCTTGGTTTTTCACGCATAAATGCAGCATCTCTCTCTCTCTCTCTTTCTCTCTCTCTCTCTCTCTTTCGTATAAGTTATAAGTATTTCTTGCTCCTGCAGCAAATCAGCATTTCTTGTTTCTCTTAGTTTTACTCTCTCTCTCTCTCTCTCTCTCCAACACCAAAATGCTGTTATTCCTAGTATCATGTCTGTCATTCCTGCTGGTTTCACAGTCACTAATCCTCAAACAAAAAAACCAACCTCCAAAATTCAATTCAAGAATGTGGGTTTTCCTCAAATCACCACACAGATTCTTCATACTACTCTCCCGAAAAAGAAAGATTCTCAACAGATTCTTCTTCTTCTTCCCATCAATCAAGAAAATCCAGACCATCAACACCACAACCAAGGAGGAAAGAAAAGAAGAAGCAGCCCACAAGGAGGAATTCTCTCTACTTGATCTTCCCGATTTACCCCTCGACGCCATTCTCGAAAAGCTCTCGCCTTTCGAACTCTGCAGCATGGCTAGGGTTTGCAGCTCTCTGAAACTGAGCTGCACCAGCGACCATCTATGGCGGAAGCAGATGGAGAAGAAATGGGGTGGCGTCATTGGTGACGTGGCACACAACGAGTGGCGATCACAACTAATAACTGCTTCGAAAAGGCCGCATTTTTCAACAGAAAGAAGCGGCAAATTCCAGCTTTTTTTGGAACTTTTCATGGGGAAGAAAAGTGATATCAAGAAAAGTGATTCCAGGAAGTACTTATTACAAGAGAATTCAGTTATGGCTTTTTATCTTGCTCTTGAGACTGGAAAGTTTTGGTTCCCAGCTCAGGTTTTTAACCGTCAGGTGATTTTTTTTTTTTTTAAGGTAAATTTTGTTTGATTTAAGGTAAAATTTTTCTGAAAGATTTGAACTTTATTTTTAATTTTTATGAAGGTGCAGAATGGGCATGTGGGGTTTATGCTTTCATGTTATGATGCTCAACTATGCTATGATTCCACCACAGACAATTTCATTGCTAGGTAATGTATATCATTGTTGCTAGGTAATGTATATCATTGTGACGAACAAAGAGAGCGTAGATTACGAAAATATCCCTGAACTTAGGCTGAATTACGAAAAAAATCCCTTATCCGTAATTATCAAAAACCCACGGACATTTGTTTATTTCTTACAGCGACCTCCTTGTGGTGTGATTGTTCTCGGAATGCTTTT